CAAACAAATATAAAGATTTAATTTGATATTCATCTTCAAAAAAATGTATTATATTTCATTTGCTCAGTTAGAACAACTAATCATTGTTTCATCAATCAATCCATATATGAATGGATAAGCGATCTAGATATCGTTATTTTCGAGAAATTATTTTTTTGGATGAAGCTAGAATTTTTTTGATACCAGTTACTAGTTACTTGCTAACGTAATGGGATGGGAACGGTAATTTCCCTTTCCTAGCTTTAAATGCCACTGGCATAACCTAGCAACGGTCTATTGCAAAAACTATGATATTATCTTTACCAATACTTACAAAAATATAAAGATATTATCGATTAAATTCAAGTTTATGTCTTCAATCATTGATGAGGGTGTGGGTGAGTGGGAGTGTGCGTATGGATGTAAACAATTACTCCAACCACACCCACCCTCATCCAAATATGAGTGAATCTTTTATCTTTCCAATTTGTAATAATGATGCTAGATGACACCACATTATGATAAAGACATGAACTAATCACTTTAGAAACTGTCTAATTCAAGTCTATATTCATTAGATAAATGTATTTGACAATATTATCAGTTTGTTAATAATTGAAATAAAATGAATAGTTATTAATATTTGAATAGTTCAATATACCAGATAATTCGAACATCACATCATTAATGTCTTCTAGTATGTGCTCCTCTAGAAAAACCTAAACCATAGAGTAGCGAACAGTGTACTTCATGTATGTGTTCTGAAACATTATATCGGTATGCACTAAAATGCCAGATAGTACAATATAGATACTTTACATTTGATAAAGCGTTCTCGCTAAGCCTAGAATCGGCCAGAACATGACTAGAAAGTGTCCGTATCAGAAGAAGGGTGTGGGTGGTTGTGGGTATGTGGATGTGGGTATAGAAGAATGAAGTGATAGAAATGACCAACATCCACACCCACACCCTATATGTGAGTTCCACAAAACAAATAGTGTTTGTATGTAAAGAAGAAGGGGCAAAGTGGGTGCGACTTTTATTATTACTCTTATCTTTATAAAGATAAATGTGAAAAATAAACGCTACCTAGCAGTTGATAAATCATAAAGATGACATACTCTTCAGGTAGATTGCATAAAAGAGACAAGAATAAGAACCGCAGTAGGTGAATGTAAATTTTAAAGAAATCAAATCTTTGTTCTAAGAATTGATAGAATCAAAATGACATTTGGTATTCATCATATCATTGGAATTCATCGTCTTCATACGGGTCAAAAAAACTATTCAACTCCATTGATATTTAAATCATATGCCCAATGGCCTTATTGGCAACGAACAGCATTTGATTACCTTTTTTGGTGTCAATTCGCTGAGGCATTAAACTTTAGTGTTGCACTTCTATGTTGGCTTTGGATATTTCCGCTAACATTTCCTGAAGCAAATGAATGGCATTTTAAATGGGTATCTCGAGTTTTTCTTTTTAATATTGCTTGCGAATTTATTACTAATTCATTTTGGCATTGGATAACTCACGCACATCGAAGTCCATATGCTCAAGGACTACTACATGAAAAAAAATTTAATCCAATTAATCCTTATGAAGAAAAAGGACAACATCATTTATTAAGAGAAATAACATTCACTACACTTGGGTGGTTACAATCAGTTTTCATTCAATGTATTTTTATGTGGTTATGGGCTAGCGGTCAATTACCTTATTATAGTGATTTTTGGTCTAAGCCATTCTTTCCAGTTTTTATTCTTTTAAGTGTTACTTTTTGGAGAGCATTTCATTTCTATTGGGTAATTTAGATGGTTAGAATTCATTTTTAAACCTATTTTATTTTCTCTAGGTTCATCGTTTTATGCATCCATGGTGGTCTATTCAAAATGGTTTACGACAAGGTGATATTGGTGCATTTCTTTATCGTCATTTTCATAGTCTTCATCATCAAAGTCGTAATCCTGGTCCATGGTCTGGACTATCTATGCATCCAGTCGAACATTTCTTCTATTATACATGTACTTTTTTTCCTCTTCTCTTTTCCTGTCATCCACTTCATTTTCTCTATACAAAATTCAATACTGATATTTCTCCAATTGGTGGTCATGATGGTCACGATAAACCAGCTGTTGGTGCAGGTTTTCATTACTTACATCATGCAGTTTTCGAATGTAATTATGGATCGCCATTAATTGATTTTGATCGTCTATTTAGTACTTATAAAGAATATGTCAGAAAACCATCAACAAATGACAAATGTAAAACTTAATTATTCTTCATTATTATTCGCTGTAATAAATATAAAAGATCGTTTTTTTTCTTTGAATTTATTTGTCTCAAATAAATGTTTTAAATCACCCAAAGAAAAGTTTAATAAATATTGATACTAGAAACTTAATTCAAAAATAAATCATATCTCTTTCGAGTCATCACATTCTTGACTACTGTTCCATATAAATATATCCCAATGAAAAATTTTTAAGAAAAAAGAAAAGTGAACGTGTTCTAAAAAAATGAAAGCCGTTCTAAAAATATTGAATACATTCCGATATTGAATCATAGAAAACGCCTTTCTCAGGTTTCCAGAACATGTTCTTTTCTTAGCGAAAAAAGGACTTCTACTTTTTTAGCACGTATTCTTTACCATTTCTCTTTTGAGTGATAATTAAAAGATCTCACAATTTGAACAAGTTGTTCGCACACATTCTCATCAAGGAAATCACCAAAATCGCGTTTGTCTTCTATTGACTTGCTTATACCTACTACCGACGTCAAAATATAATGAACCTCGATATTTTTTGAGGATGTGGGTGTGGGTGCATTTGAATAAGAGACCAACACCGCGACCATACTCACCCACACCCTGACACAGTTAAGACAAAAATATTTTTCATTGACAATCAAATCATTTCTTCATTTTCCTCGAGACTTTGAAATATTTTAAATTCATTCGTGCTCACAGTATACTTCGAATCTTTTAAGAGTTTGGAGCATTATTGGGGCCAAGATCAAACCAATAGTAGTACATTCGCCACTGAAGATTGTTCCTGTCATTGATGCTGCAAAACAAGCGGTTTGTTTGATAGGAATAGAAGATTATATTTGTGTTTGCCAAACTTTTACACATGAGAGAGCTCGTAATACTCTGTATATTCATCCCATGTACTCTGGAAAACATCTTGAGTATTGAAAGGAAAATAAAATGGAGAAAATTTTTCTATGTCTACAAACACTACTTGAATCTAATATGTGAGAAGTGTTGACGAAGTTTCTTTTAGGAAGATTTAGTGACAGGATATCGAATGTTCTCAATTTAAATATTTCATGAAAACACATAAATATCGTTGTAGTTGTGTTACAACTGCTTGCTGCAATACAAATATAAATACAAGCACGCTATTTATATTCAAAGTCAAAAAGGAGTGTGTGTATTGACTATATTATCGTCTTACTATTTCTTTCTCGTCACAGATAATAAGACTTGGAAAATAAATGAAAGATATAATATAACACGAATAATCGTTTATATGATTAATTACGATACACTTTTTCCTAAATGTATTTTCAACTCAGTGCATTTTATTTTTCTTAAAACAACTAGAAGTGATATGAGGAGAATTTTATCCGTATATTCATTGAGAGAAAAAGAGGGGATCATAATAGCTCACAGAAATACTGTCTTTGGCATCGTTTTAATTATCTTTTTTAGTATAGCTTTAAATATTAAGGTAAATTTGACACCCGTTCAACCATGTTGTTTACAAGATGGCAAAAAAACCAGATCAGCACTCATTCACAGTTAAGAGTGACTTTATTCTCTTTATTCTCTCTTTTTTGTCATAATTTAGATTAACTTCTATCTTTTCGACAAGGTTGCAACTACCCATGTAAAACTTTCTATGGGTTTAATGAATTAAAGAAAAAGATATTCTCTTTTAGACCATGACAACGCGTTCGCGATATGTCCTTCGACGAATCTTCATATGTCTCTTCTCATGAATACGGATTTACTTCAGAATAACTCATGAGACTTCATTCAAAAACATATTTTTAACGCGTTTTCACAGTTATAAAAGTAATAACTTTTTTCATTAAATGTTTATGTTCATAGAAACTACTACATGGATATCATTTTAGAGTCGAGTTTCTTGTCAGAGATGTCATTTGAGCTGTTCTATGACTTCATATCATGAATAAAGATTGACGACTGGCACCATTCTCAGATAAAAATTTTATTAATTTTCTTTTCAGTATACATAAAGTTTCACATTCTTTGTATTCATCAATGTCCAACACAACATCTGTCAGTGGTGTAATCATTGATCCATCCAATCAAATCAAATATATTATCATGCAAATCTTTCATATTCCATCTATCATCTGTTCTATTTTCACACTCACTCACTTGTTATCGAATCGAAAACTTCGTTTAACTCTTTACAATCACACATCATTGGTTTTACTAATTATTTCAATATCTGATTCATTTCTCAATCATCCGTTTACCCTGAATTATCTACGCACGGGTCGCGCAACACCGTCAACCAATGCAATGTGTATTTCTTGGAATTTTTTCAATGCTCTATTCGCTACTGCAGTTTACTGGACGATGGCATGGAGTTCTATGGAAAGATATTTGCTCATTTTTTATTCTTCATTATTCACCACTTATCGTAGGCGAGTACTGTTCCATTACGTTCCTCTTTTCATAATGACAATTATCTATCCGATTCTGGCTAACATCGTGATTATTCTTCTCTATCCATGTGTAAATCAATTCAATATGTTGTCGCTCTTCTGTGGATACTCATGTGCATTGAAGATTCCATCTGTGGCGCTCTTTTTTCGAATCGCACATAATTTCGTGCCTATCTTCATCGTGACTAGTTTTATCTTAATGCTAATAGTACGGATAATCAAGCAAAAGCGACAAGTACAGAATAATCGGTTTCAATGGCGCAGACATCGTCGAATGGTCATTCAGCTGTTAACTCTTGCAAGTCTCTTCCTCGTTCTGACTTTACCATCGTTCATTGTAGGGATTATACAAAACTGTTGTCTACCAACTTTTGCTGCTGTTTTACAAATCTCTTACTTCACTCTTTTGATACGATTTTCCACAATTCTCATGCCATTCAAATGTCTCAGTTTGCTTCCTGAGATTTGGCCCAAACTGCTACTGTGCAAAAATACCCAAGTTCATTCTGTCGCTACTGTTCCAGCTAGAGCTATTTGTCCTAGATAGACATAAAATTTGTCTTTACAGTCTATTCTACGGAAAATAAGTTACTTGTAGTGTGAGTTTAGAGTATTTATTCAGTGTCATTTAATCATTCGATTAAATTAATCATAGTTCATTTTTGTGTGCTCGTATGTCAAATAGATCATTTGTTGTCATTTTTGTCAATTGCTTGTACGATTTTTATCATTTCGTTACACTCAACATTTGTTGCACAATTATATACATAATAAAAAAAAATTCGTTTGTATTGGAAAATCTTTGATCGCTGATATCTGATTTTAATAGAGAAATCAGATATTTACTTTGATATACAATTCACTTGAAAAACAGACTGACCTATCTATCTTGAAGAAAGACAAACACAATCTGCTCTTCACAACTTTTGATTTTCAGCAATCAATTGGTTTGTCGAAGTTAAATGGTAAAGAAATGCACAAGCGGGCCGTGACCGGTTTCGTTCTTGCTTAAGGAACTCATCAGACGGCATGTCCAAATTCATCATCAATTAATGATAATAAAGAAACAGGTCACGGCTACTTGTTCATATTGTGTAGCCATACTTAAGAGAGAGTC